ACTCCGGTGGGCGCGGCTCACCTTCAACTTTTGCAAATCGCTGAACTCCTTGTCGATGCTATTTATGTCGTCCACGGGGACATTAAAATTTGCCCCGTCATTACCGCCCTTGTTGTGGTTCATTTGGTCTAGGTTCATTGGGTCCATTTTGTGTGGTCTACTAGGGGTTGTCTCGCCCGGGCGATGTGGTAGGTTTCGTTTCTGTTCGCTTCAACCCTGATGGGAGTAGTCCTTACGTGTTTATCTTCGCGTGGCACTTTGCACTAAACTCAGGTGTGCCCACAACACGTGTTGCTCCGCGATTGTTATGATAATTCAGTGTGCCTGCATAAACTCTTGCTCAGCCTGCACGATCGACATGCGCTTTGCTCGCTGTGCACCTGGTATTCCCGCTGCGTATGTAGAGATGGGTAGCACCCGACAGACTAACGTGCAGCTGACGAGCGGGGGAGAGTCCTCTTCACCTCGTAAGTGCGCAGTCAACAATGGGACCCACAAAATCGGTCACGCGGAAGAGCGAATGGCAGGAATGGGGAAGCAGAAGAGGGTAAACTACGAAACTGTACTCATAGATGGCATGCAAAATGGCCGCTTTCTAGTAGCGTGAAAAAGCTTGCGCAAGTTACCACGTTCACATGCCTTCCAAATGGCCGACGCGCGTACGCACGAATTGATGTACGAAAAAAGTACATACGACCATATATACAATATGCATAAATATGAGCATATATATATGTATATACTTTCCCAGCGAAGGAGAGAAAACTCAAAAAAACATAAAAATTACAATCAAAGAATAAAGAAAAAGCAGCAAATAGTTAGGCCAATTCAATTTTCATTTTCTGCGTCATTCAAAAAGAAGGGGAAGAACATGAAAAATCCGAAGAGGGAAAAAAAAAAAAAAAAAAAAAAAAAAAAAAAAAAAAAAAAAAGAAAAAAAAAAATGGCGGGTACTTATATTTTAATATTATAGTATTCATTGCGCACAATTATTTTATTGGGAAAAAATAAAAATGCTTGTGGCGTTTTTTTTGCCTCTTCACGGGTCACTCCGATAGGGGGGACACAGAAGTTTACGCCTGTCAGTCGATTGATTCACTATTTGGAGCTGCGCGGGAGGGGAAGAAACAAAATATATATACATATATGAGCATTTTTACATGTACAAATATTTTTCTTGTTCGTGTTTTGTTCCCCTTCCAACCCTTTCGCAACTTCGCACGACTTCTTCAACTCGCGTTGGGTAACATCGTGTTACAACGCGCCGCTACAAAAATGCCTGCGCTCGGGCAAATTTTACAGGTTTTGCCCCCCGCGGGGATAGTGGCATATTTGTAACTGTCCATCACGGAGTTGACAAAAACGTCACTGTAAGTTTATATATAAGGATAAGCAGCCACTTTTTTTTTTTTTTTTTCCTTCTCTCGTCATAATTTCTCTTTCTGGTACCCCTCCCCAATGACGTGAATTGAACTTTTGTATTTTGCGTCAGCTGAATGGTAGCCCGTTATGGTGGACAAAATTGTTTTACCTTTGCAAATATTTAAAAGGGGTATACCCCCCCACCAGTTATGCCCCTTCCTTCTGCATATACACCTTAGGGGGTGGCGTCCAGACAGTTGTGTCCAGCAACTTCCAAGTGGGCACAGGCATGATGCACTGCAGACTTGCAGATGCGTGCCAAGGCACATATAACCATGTGAGTATTAGTTCCAACGCTAATGAAGCTGTTACGTGGGTTGCTATTTACGTGAGCCCGTTGACACCACAGGTACACGAACGGTTAGAAGAGCAATAGGGCACGCAGGAAATTGCGCCTACATCAGTTCTTTAAAGGAAACCACACTGAAGCTGCTGACAGCAGTTCTTATCCGTTTATATATTTACCCGCCCATGTACACACGTACGTGGCTAATTTTTCCAGGTGTCCACTCTGCGTAATAAATCCGGTTCGAGATATCACTAGGATATCAGTTCACTGGTAGCTTTTGTCTACCTGCTTTTTATATGCCTGTCCACAACGTCGCAATGGTGACAACGCGTTGGGATACCATTTTTAATCATTATTGAGAGATCCTCTGGATGTCGAAGCGGAGGAAGTAAATAGGGTTAGCTCACAGGTGGCGATTTGTTAAAATTGCGCCCATGTGACGAGGGACATAAGGTGCATACATATGCATATATATGTATGTGCACATATGTGAGTTACCTTTTGACGCACTCGGAGTAACATCACAATTGCTTGGACTTGGACATGCACCCCTTTTGCGCAGCCAGGCACGTCATGTGCCACATTAGGGGATACACATTTAAACGTGATAGATTGGGGGCGATGACCATAACACTATCACAACCTTTGTACCGCTTCATATCTTCCCAAATATTGGCACAAAATTACCAAACTTACACACGTGTGTGAATGTGAGGAGGGATAGACACAAATTGCCTGATCCGGCAAGGTAACTTTTACCTGCTACCATTTTGTTAACCCTGGTGTCCACGTTGGACTTTATACCCCCATGAGCTTTACGTCACCATCGAACACACGTGTAAATCAACGCTCACTCGAAGGATGTGATTTTGGTACATCTCGTATTGTTCCTCGTCCCCCCCAAAAAAACTAAAATACCCTTTCGCAACAGGGGAAAAAAATGTACAATAATTGCCTGAACATGTTAATAAAAAAAAAAAAAAAAAAAAAAATACTAACCTTTTAAAGGGGTAGCCAAATGGGACAAAATTTAACAAACGTAATGGAATGAAAGGGGGAAAGAAAAATTCCCTTCTCATCTTTTTACTCTCGCGTAACACATAGAAATGGGAAAAGTTATTATCCCTCGTGGAAGGAAGCACATACAGGGGTGGAAAAAAAAACACAAAGCACATATCATCGCCTATTATTTCCCTTTTTTCCATATTTGCAAATTGATCGATTATGCGTGATTGCTGCTTGGGGAATACCCAGGTGAACATTTAAGCTGTCAAATTTTTTCTTTTTTCTTTTTTGCGTCTTACGAATTAGTTTTGTATATTCGCCTCTTCTAATGTCAATCGTTTCTGTAAGATCGCGCTGGGTTGCACCGGAGTACACATGTGTCAGTGTGTACATGTAATTGCATGTTCAAAGATGTTCATGTATTTATCTGTACACATTCACGCACGTGTTTTTTTATTTTATTTTTTATTTTTTTCCAATACACGGGCATGCGAAAAGCGTAAAGGACGCAACTGTTCACACATGAACAGGCTGAGGGTCGCATATGCCAATGAATTTCCCTCCACTTGACGGTGAAAACAACTGAAAAGGGAGTAACCGTTACGTTAAAGTAGTAAATGATATTCTTTTCCCTCCCATTGTAGTAGCCAATATAAATATGCTTTTGCCCCCATGTACATACAAATGTACACACTCATCTGCGGACTGCCCACCCCCTGTGGAAACAGTCCAGTGGTTCGCCCTTTGCCCCATTTTGTTGCCTCACTTGGGGGAAACGCACAGGTCTACATATGCTCCTTCATTTTGCGCTAAGTTGATTGCTTTGCTTTAGTGGGACGAACATCATCGTATTACTGTCCCCGGTGAAAAAATAAACACATAAACGTGGGCCATTTGCAGGATTCTAAATGCGAGTACGCAAATGGACACCCTTTTTTTTTTTTTTTTTTAAGTTGTCTGTTGAGGACTACCTGCTGTTGCGATTTCATCGCGGCTGTGACGGTGATTGTCTCTGAGTTTGCCTCTTAACGATATGCATGTTTGTGCCTCCAATTCATCATTTGCACTGAGCGAGTGGATTTTCACTCCAGTGGGCTTCCTTTAGCCTAATGTTGCTCCAACCATCTTGCAGCTTTATTTATTTTTTTGTTTCGTTCCATGATAAGTCTCGCAGCAGAGCGGGAATTTTTATTTGTGTTTGCTTATCGTGTTGCCATCCTGGAAGAAAGTTTGTACTTCCTTCCGTTTCGTCTTTTTTATTTTCTTCGCGTTGGTTTGCGTTTCGCAGTTCTCCATATTTTTTTTTTGTTCACCCAACTGGCTCCGTATTGCCTATATTGCAACAGCTAGCCGTTTTTAAGGCGCACCTTCGGAAGACGTGTACCCATGAACCGCTTATTTAGTGATAAGTCCCTGTGGGTTCTTCGTGTAGGTATGCAGGTGTATGTGTACACGTCGTACGTGTCGTATGCATGGCAGGCACCATAGGTGTAGAGCACGCCTCGGGAGCACACGTGCGCCTATCATTACGCGGCGCTACCCCAATCCAAGCAGCAGGCACGCACGTATATATGCACATGTGCCCCTGCATACGCACAGCTTGAAGAGCGGCCGCTTGCACTTGCGCGCGCTGGCCGTGTCCACTTGAGCAGATATAACACATACAGGAATAGGGGGAAGGAGAGAATGTAAGCATAAACGCCCCATTTACACAGGTCACCTGGGTACGATTTGAAACTTGTGTAGGTGACCTTTTTCCCCCTGTTTATGTGCCCTTGTTTTTTTTGCTCTCCTCGTGGATTTACTCTCCGTTTTGTTGTTCTCTCCGCTTTGTTTCTCCGAATTTTTTTTTTTTTTTTTTTTTTTTTCATTTCTCTTTATTTAATTATTAGTTGAGCACATCGACTTCGCCTCCCCTAAGCGTGGCGCGCCTGGCGAGTCCCCAGTTTTGTGAATTCGTTTTTCCGCTCTACAGTCGCCGTGCAGCGCCCCACGTGCAGAAGAAGGGTGCGCGTACATGTATATACTGAGATACAGCTGCACACACTAGTATGTAGAGACTTTTTTCTGGGTCTCCTTCGCCCCTTTCTTATCGCCCTCCCTTTGCTTGTTCCATTTGTTCTTCATGGGCAGCACCCCTCTGTGACACATGCTAAAGCACAATGAAAACGCCTGAATTTAGTCTAGACTCGCTAAAGAAAAAGCGAAAAAAAAAAAAAAAAAGTTGGACTATGAAAAATTCAGTGCACACTATTTTTTGAAGCTACCTATATTTATCATCCTCATGATTGTATTTTGCCTCAACGCTTTTATATATATATTAATACGGTTTTGTATTTTTATTTGTGAGTATGTGTCTTTTTTCCTGATAACAAAGTACACTGATTTTTGTAGATGCTTGAGGAAGAGGTCACGTGGTGGAGTGGGAAGTGGAACGGGAGGTGAGGCAGGGGATTCCACAGGAAAAAATAAAGCCCATAGTAATACGTATCATAAAGAAGGAATGCATAAGGCAGAAGAAAGTATTTTTAAAATAGACCGACTGATGCGGTCATGCAGTAGTTACAAAGATTATATAAGGTATGCATATCGAATGGATGAGCTCACAGGAAAAACTGTTCATATAAATGAGAATGATGATTACATAAATACGTATGATGTGAATTTATTGAAGAAAACAAGTCAGAGAATAAAAAAAAATTTAAGGAACAATGATGTGTTGAGGTTATTAGAAGATATAAAAGTAGCTACGTCACCAACCATTAAAGGTATTTTCAAAGAGAAATATTATTGTAAGACGTATTCTACTCCCCACATTATTGTAACTGATTTTATAACGCATGTGATGGATGCACTGGAGTTTTTAGATCGCTATGTACATCAACAGAAGGAAACAAATTTGAGTTATATTTTTTCCGATGAGTATTTATTAATTAAGAGAATTTTTAAGGATGTCTTTCGCCAGTGGGGCAATACTGCTTTATTCCTCAGCGGAGGCGCCATCCTAGGTCTCCATCATTTTGGCGTCTTGGAGGTATTTCTAAAATCTTCCATTAATGTAAACTACTTTGAGGAGTGCTCGTCTTGGGGGGGACAGCAGCCTACTCGAGAGAGTGAGTCTTCGAAGGAGAAACAGTGTAATAGCCCTTCTCATCCGAGTCAGGAGGAGTGCAAAGCGGGATGCACTTCTAACGAGAAAGGAGGCACCCGTGCGGAAGGGGTAGGGCGCAGCACAAATGGAGGGAAGAATCCTTCCCCAAGTGCTAATCCATCCAACGGGAAGGGTGTAGAGGTTATAAGAAATGCAGAAAAGGGAAAGACCAGCAAAATAGACCTAATTAAGAAATTTCTTTTTAGGAAGAACGGAGTTGGCACTGATTCGGGATACACTCCTGTGGAAGGGGAGGGGATTGGCGAATGGGCGTCTATGAGTCCTGCAACGGAGGGGAGCTCGGGTAAGTTTTCCTTCACTACGAGCAACTCTGCTGTGAGCGAGCTGGACTTGGGCTCCATGAGAAGGGAAACAGTGGGCAGTGGTGAAAGCCATGGAAGTGGACGAAGTGGAGGAAGTGGTGGACGCGATGAGCGTGATCCCCCCCCTCAGCTGAATAACGTGAATAATGCAGTAAAGGCAGATGAAGGGCCCAGCCCAAATGACCTCTCAAGCAACCCCTCCAAGAGTAGCCCCTTGTCAAATGAAGAAAAGGATTTCGTGCCAAACTTCGAAGACAATATCCTGCCACAAATTATATGCGGGACATCTGCAGGCAGTATCATCGCAGCATGGGTGTGCTCTAGAACGAACAAAGAGTTGTTAGAAGAATTTAACGTCGAGTTCATTTACCAAATCGTTTCTTGTTTTGCCTCAGAGAATTGGCTTTACTCTTTTTTTAATATTTACAGAAAGGGGAATTTTTACGACATTGACAAATTTGTTAAGCTCATTCATAACCTCTACGGAGATATGACTTTTTTGGAGGCGTTCATTAAAACCAATTTGGTTTTAAATATTACTGTGACCAGAGCAGAGTCAGGAAATACAAATTTCCCATGTGAAGAAGATGGGCATATGGTTTTAAATTATATGAATAGCCCTAATGTGTTGATTTATACGGCTGTTTTGGCTAGCTGTTCTTTTCCCTACCTATTGCAGCCATTTAAATTGTTGGAGAAGAAATATAACAGGGAGAATGTGTATAGGTTCATGTCCGTGAAGGAGGTCAGTAATGCCAAGTTTATTCTCAATAGCAACAGTGCGTTTAAGCCGGGGACCCATTTGAGGGAGACGGAACGCGCGCCCAGTGGGTTCAGCTTGGCCAGTGCAACGGGTGAGGTTGGGGAAGCAACTGTAACGAGCGATTCGAGCGGCACGAGCGATGCAAGCGACCGAAACGGCCCAACCGACCCACGCCATGTGAACGACCCGAACGAGCTGTTCGACAGCGCGACGCAGTCCGATCTAACAACAAGTGGACTCCCCAAGGATACACACCGCGCAGCGCAGAACAAGGACGCCCAGATGAGCGAGAAGGTTAACTCCGTTAGCGCAACGACGGATGATGCGGATGTTAAGAAAAGCATTTTTGGTAAGAGCATTAGTGCCCCGTGTAGCGGACGCCTCAAATTGAGCTCATCAAGGTGCTCAGATGATGTAAAAGGGGGGAAGAAGGGGATGATTCTTCCTGGTACGAGTAGCGCTACGGGCACTAATGACGCGACGGTCGATGCAATCTCTGCCAATCGTGTGGACACCTCGGAGCTCAGAGCTAAGAGCAAAAACGGAACGGTGGACGGAGGCAGCAAGCCGGATGGGAAATGTCAAAATGGCGCGGAAGAACAGGGAGACCATTCAGAAGCAGATGAAACAAAGAACAAAGCAACTGAGTGCATCGACCCTAATGAATACAAAAATATAAACCTCGTTGACGAGGAGTATACCATTATAAACAGTGTGCAGTTCAAGAATACATATTTCCATGACGGATCCCTAAAGAGCGACATCCCGGCCCATAATTTGAATCAAATTTTATCAGTCAAGTACAAAATCGTTTCGCAAGTGAATCCCCATGTGTTCCCCTTCACAGGGGTTCGCGTTCACGGGGAAGCAGGCAAACCCGTAAAGTGGAGGGGCAACTCTGGTCATTGGAGGGCTGGGTTTTTAATGTCTTCCATGGAAATATTATTTAAAGAAAACATGCGGTACATTTTGAGGCTGATGGCTTTGCTGGACTTGTCTCCCACGATCCGGGGCCTTAACGCGGGCTCAATCGCAATGCAGGTGAGGGGGCATGCGCAACCCTTTTTTGGGGGGGGTAGCTCTCATGCTATATCTGCTTCGCCCTCCCTATAACCACTAATCTGTTCACTATCGTTTCCACTTCACCTCCCCCCGCAGAACTACAACGGAGACATCACCCTGCACCCGAAGCGTCTCTACCTCAAGCACTTCAAATTGATCAGCGTGTCCAACTACGACGATGTGCAGTGGTACGTACAGCAGGGCAGGCAAATGACTTTCCAAAAGCTCCCCCTCATTTTAAACAGAATGAAAATAGAGAAGAAGTTGATTAAGATGAAGAAATCGTTCTTTTGAGGTTGGGGGTGGTAGGCCAGCGGCGCGGAGCGAAGGAGAAGAAGAACAAGCGGTCATGAAGGGGAAAGTGTGTCTTTGTGGAAGCAGCTTGCCAGGTGCATACCACGCTCCACTTTCCTTGCGCGATGGACGGGCTCCTGTCACTATATTTTTTTTTTTTCCCCATTTCGCATTCGCAGCGTGTATTTTTGTTTCATGCCGTTTGGGGATCTCCACTCGGAGTTGCGCGCTGAGGGGTCGATTTTGTCGGGGGGAAAGAAGAGAGGGTTAGCAAAAAAAAAAAAAAAAAAAAAAAGGGTGCATAATAGAGAAGGATACAAAATGGATCCCAGAAGATTCAAATATACCTTTCCCCCTTTTTCATCCGCCCTTTTTCCAATTTTCCTTTTTTATGTCAAATACACGCATGTGCGCGTTTAACGTAATTAAAACTATTTGCTCTGAGTGATCTCAGGCAGCTTGCTTCCCGAGAGGACAAGGGAGGGAGGGTACACTCATTATATGAGGCCTTCTTCGTGGCAGTGTGCCCTCCTCCCTGTCCATTTATTTTATTTTATATTTTTGTTTTGTTATCTGCGTGCGACCTTTTTTAAAAAAGGTGTAAGGCGATTTTCCCTATTGTTCGCCTCATCGTTGTGCCTATATGTTTGTTTTAACCAGCTGCACAAACGTCAATTCATTTTTGTGTATTCACCTTGTCCGTCCATTTTACCATTGATTGCATTTTCGTGTGTGGTCAGTCGACCAAGTTCACAGCGTCCGTGGTATCCATCCCTCGTGCAACTCGCAAAATTGCAAATTTTTCTTTTAAATCAAATTAGACAAACTTCCACACAAGTGGGCTGCCTTCAAATGAGTTGTCAACAGTCGCTTTAGGAGGAAAAAAAAAAAAAAAAAAAACGACAAAGCTGGCACTAAAAATGGGATCCTATCCCCGCCTTTTCATTGAAAGCGGTCAGACGAATTATGGGTACACAAAAAAAAAAAAAAAAAAAAACGGGGCAAAAAGGAGCCAAAATGGTGTGCAGGCGGGAAGAGGCAAGCTTAGCCAAGCAGCATGCCGATCACACGGCAATGTGTAAACCATATCCACTGCACGGCATTATATGCATGATGCCGCTTCCCACTCACACGTGGCTTATGTATTGACAAACATCATCCAGGGAGAGCTTCATGACTTGTCCCCCCTCGACTTGGACGTGAGCGTAATCACCCTTGATCTTCTTCAACTTGACGGTCTGTTTATACAAAGACATGTCTCCCTTGGAGAGGCAAATATTTCTCCCGACGACCTTACATTTGACCGTGTCCTCACTGATGCTCGTTTCAACATATTTAGACTTCACTTCGGCCAGATGAAATGGTTCTTTCGTTTCATTATTTCTCTCCCCATGATCCTCCATCCTATCCATTTTGACCTTCTTTATTAATTGTTTAAGGAAATTTTCCCAGAATTGTTTCGTCTCATTTTGGTGATCGTCCACACTGGAGTCGTCTTCACTGTGATAATAATCTCTTTCCTTTTTTGTTCCTCCTTTATCCTCCTTCCATAATAAATATTCCTTAATCTTTTTCTTAACCATTTCTTTGTACAGGTGTATATATTTGTGGTTTTTAAAAAGCAGTAAACCAAGGATGCAGTGGGATTTATCTTCCCCTTCGTGGTTCCTCCCCTTTGTCTTCCTTCTCCTTTTCCTTTTCGTGTACACGATGACCCCTTTTCGTTTGTAAAATTCATGAGTCTTTAAATTTATTTTTACAATTAGTCCTTCGAATAGGTTATCCGTGTTGTCACTCGGGATCGGGTCTGCGCATCTTGCTTCCTCTCCGTGCTCCCATTTACCGTTGCTCCTGTGGGCGTTGTCATGGGACTTATCCCCCCGCTCGCTGTCTCCACTTCCACTCCTACTCCCACTGTTGCTCCCCTTGCGGCCCCTAATCCGCTGCATGTTCTCCTTCATCTCTTCCTCCGCGCCCACACCCGTGAACCGAAACTCCCGAGCCTGGAAGGAGTCATATATCCTGTCAAAGTAGTTCTTGTCGCTCCGTTCCTGGTAGTACTGATTTATGTACTTATTGTAAACCTCTTCGTTGAATCCCATTTTACTCAAAATGCGTTTGCCGTAGTTTTCCACTTGGATGTGGTGGTCGTCAAAATCAGTGTACATGTTCATTTCATTTTTAAAAATGGAGTCCTTTTCATTCTTCTTAAATTTCTCCAAGAAGAGTTTCCTCTTATACGTGAGGTTCCCCTCGGAAATGTTATACTTGTGTTCTTTGTCTCGCTCCTTTTGGTCCTGGTGGAAGTCAGCTGCTAGCTCGGCATCCGCTTCGAATCCGTCCTCCACTACTACATGGCCATCCGTTTCGTGTGAATCATCATTGGGCTCACTGCCATCCGCGGAACCGGCTGAAAAGTCGTTAAGTCCTTCATCATCCGCCCCTTTTGCAGCCTCCGAAGTGCTAACTGGGTCAACTTCCCCATCAGACTGTTTTTCACTTAACCCGGGTCCCCTTTGGGGGGGAAAATTCAAATAAACAATTTTCTTTTTGTTTTGAACTCGATCAAGCTTTTCCTGTAGGGAACGAATAAACTGAGACGTTGCTACATCCGCTTGTTCTTCCAAAGCGTTACTTGGCTCAGTTATAATTTCGCCATTTTTTATGGCCCTAATTTTTTGTGTTTTTGAAGCTGTCCTTTCCTCTGTCTCATTTTTATCTTTCCCCTCGTCCTGGCTATAATACTGTGACCCTTCAAATACGTTCAATGTCTTTCTTTTCCTGGTGCTACTCTTCTGGTCGCTCTTTTTCAATTTGATGTGACACTTTGCCTTTCCTTCCTCCATACCGTGTGCAGAGGAGAAAAAGGGGTCAACTGATTAGCAGCGGGGAGGCAGACTCTCCTGGAGGGAGTCTACAATGGAAGACCAACAAAAGGATAGGGACTCTCTAACGAGAACATACACTGCTTCTTATAAACAATATAACATTCATTTGCAAAAAAAAAGTATCCCACAGAAATGCATCACACGATTTAAATCCTCTTGCAGGTGACTGCCTCAGCAGCAGTTTTCCCATGCGGAATGTCCATCCACCACAACCATCGTCCGATTCATATAACACTTATATGGGGAAGTAACCAAGTGGAGACCACAAAGGGAAGAAAAAAAAAAAAAAAAAAAAAAAAAAAAGAACGTTAAGTAAACCAGCACATGCTCTTCTGCGCAGTATTAGAAATGAAAGGTGGAGAGTTAGGGGGCGGTTTTCTCCCCTGGGCAGTAAGGCAAATGAAAAATGACTAGAAAATGACTAGAAAAGATGGTAAACAATTCGCAGGCCTTTTTTGGTCGCGTTGCAGGGGAAGTCCCGTCAGCACTTGGTTAGAAGGTTGTTTTTCCCTTCTTTGCCGCTTCGCTTCAACGCGCATAAATGGTAAAAGGGAAAGAAAAAGCAGTGGGGGGAGGGTGCGGCATCCAGTTGTATTTCGCGTGGAGTGCACCCAGTGGCAAGTGGCAGCGGCGACCAAGGGTGCCCTGCCCAAAGGGGGCTAAAATACAGGAGGATAAAAAAAAACATAAAAAGGGCATAGTTAAAACGGGATAGTAAAAAAGGAAAACTAAAAAAAAAAAAAAACGCCCCCTGCCAAAGTTGCCGTTCACAGTTGTCACACCAATTCGCAGCAAACACAAGCGGCTCACCCAGCGTGTGGTGTGGAAGAAGCCGCGTCACTTCCTTATAGCGCCGTGATTGCACAGCGGTCCTGGGAGAGAGAGAGAGTGTAAAGCTTTTTATAATACGACTCCACCGAATGAAGTCAAGGCGAGGTGACCAAGCGAATTTATTTAGGTTCTAGGTCCCAGAAAATTTGGGGTAGGGCTTAAAACAAAAAAAACGGTGTGCCGTGTAGATATTGTTATCCCTCCTCTCCCCAGCTAGCCAACTGAAATGGCTGTATAGTATATAGTATCCTTCCAAGCGTTAAACTGATTTTGCGGTATAACGTCCAACAGGGGGTGCAATAGGAAGCGGAGGCCCAGTGCTGTTTCGAGCCCTACGTTGATGCAAGTGTCTACCCAATTTGCAAAGGGTACAAGAGGTTTGCTTCTTACCATGTTGCCTACGGTGCAACGGGGCACCTGTTTCAGCCCTGCCCATCTAGCAAAGCACAAGGGATAAAATATATGTATATGTGTTACATAAATTAATGTGTATAATTGCCCTTTTGTGAGCGCATAGGGATCAACCACAACCCTCCCCCATATAGCCAGCACAACTGCGCAACGTGTGTAAATGATGCGAATTGGGTACTTGAAGCGTAGCCACAGAAAGACGGGGCTACTGCATGATTTCAACACAAATGGCGGAAGGAAGAGATCCTTCGTCAGCGCCCCCAGGTGCGCGCCAAGCGACGATCGAGGAAAGTACGACGATATAGAAAATTTAAAAAATGAAGCAGATTTAAAGAATTTTTATTTGCGGTATAATAAAAAGGAAGCCACTGAGTTGTTGCGCGACTATGAAATACTAACCAGTGGGACGTTAAAGAAAAAGTGTTCACTTGCTGAGGTGATAGAATGCCGCAAAATTTTCAAGTACGTGGTGGATACGACATCTGTGGTACATTTCTTACGTTCGAAAGGAGGGTGTTATAAGAGTAGTGGCAGTCTCACCACGGCAAACGAGAGTCATCAAACAAGTGGGCCAAACAACGTCTACTACATCCACAATATTGAGAAACCAAAAGTTAACAGAAGTGAACTGATACGAACAAGCAGAAACAACCGTTGTATGAATGCCCTCATGAACAATAACATGCACAAATTTATTTACAGATTAAAAAAATGCGACATTTTAAATTATAAGGAGAAAGTGATAAGCAAGGAGCATGTGAACTACAACTCATTGTTATTCCCCTTGACTTATGTGAATTTGGTGAAAGCAAAAGAATCTGAAGCTGACTCTTACTTCATGGACACAAATATCTTCTATCATTTTATTCACAGAAGGAACACTAAAGCCTTTATAGAAATACTGAAACGAGTTAATTACAAAATTTTGTCTGCTCAAGAAATAAGAAATGGGCTCCTCCTTCTGACCATCTTACACCATAACAACATTTCCATGTCAAATGACAAAAGCAACATCGTCAAGTGTGCAGGTACTTCTGAAGTTTCATACAAAAATGAAGATTATGTTAATAAAAAAATGTTGCAAGAAATTTTCATGAACTTGTGTCAGGGGATTCATTCTAAGTTGGAGTCCATTTCGTTTCTCCAGCTGTATGACTACCTACTGCTCATGTGCATAAACGAAGTGAAAAGTAAGGAGGTTTACGCGGGCATCTTGAACCGCCTGTCGCACTATGTTAATGTTATTAACAAAATTAGCAACGACCTCAACAGGTCAGACGCAACGGGGGGGGATCCCCTCTGCGCGGAGACAGAGACGGTGGATGGGAGTGCGTCCACAATTGGCAGTGTAATGCAGAGCAGCCATCCCAGGGAGGACCCACTTGGCCTTCAAGTGGAATCACTCGACGGAGCGGCACCCGGGTGGACAAATCACAGTACGATCGGCGCGGTCAACGGCGAGGGAGATGACATAGAAGCGGAAGACGAGGAGTGGGCTCAAAACATAGCACAAAGCGATGACTCTCGCTTTTACCTGAGGAAGGACCACCGCCAACACATAACGAACAACCTCCTGAGTATCAAGAACATCTTGTTGCACAAAGTGTTGCTAGTATACATGACGAAATATTTGTTCAGTCACATAGACAGTAACATATTGTATGCACACTCCGACCTGATCTGCGAGAATTTGGAACTAATGACACATCATATGATAACAAATTTTATTTTCACCATCGGGACGTGCAAACATGTGGACGAATTCTGTATGTTCATGTTGGCAAAGTATGTACAGAATTATGTTCATACATACACTCCAAATGAAATTACTATAATTGTGAATACTTATGCCGACGCTTCTTTGGAGGACGTCAGTTTTTACGAAACGATTTGTGAACATATGAAGAGAAACTTTGAAACATTTTCCTCTATTGATATTATCAAAATAATTTATGCATTTTCCAAAGTGAGGATTCGAGATGTTGAGTTGTTAAAAATGGCTTATGAAAAAATAAACAATTATTTGGAAGAGAGGGAAAGAAAAATGGATGATACGTGTGTACAGGTCAAGGGACCATATGTACAATGGGACAGCGAAAAAAAAAAAAAAAAAAAAAACTTCAACTCACATTTTAATGGCAATACGGTTGTGCCAAGTGGCGGTTTGCTGGATGAAAGTGACCATCGTGTGGCGAGCGACAACAACGTATATGAAGACAAACAAATTAAGAGGAATGTAAAAAGGAAAAAATATGTCATTAACAAATATTTGTGCGCGTACGCGTTAATTGCGGCGGGGAAATTGGATTATGTAGAGGAACTGGACAAACTGTTTGTACACTTAAAGAATAGCATACACAGTGAAGGCATCGACATAAGAGGTGTGTTGTGGATGCCCATGGCCATCACGAGCTTGCTATCTTCGGAATGCATATTTCACTTCCTTCCCATTTATGTACATTTAATTTACAACGCTTTTAAAAAAACGCAATCCCCCAAATTGCTTTCGCTACTCATACGAAGGCACAGCATTTTACTACACACAATCGAGACGGATATCATTCCGAAGAAATACATCAGTAAAGGTACACTGAACAATTTGTATTATATTTGTAAAACGAAGAAGGACAACTCCAAGGAGAAGGTGTTCATTCCAGATAGCTCCACCTTCCACATTGAAGTTTCCAACGCGCTGTTATCCCTGGACATTGCGCACAAGAAGGAGGTTAACATTTACCCCTTCACCATTGACATTTTTATTAGCAGACCGGGAGATTGCACACAGAAGGGGGGGCAATCCAACAACACACAGAAAGATTCACGCAGGGCGGCGGCGCCTTTGAGCTACGGCACGACCAACTTTAGCCTTGACCATATCGCGAGGGAGAAGAAAAAAATACAACCATACGACAACGACACCAACTTTGAGCACACATTCGAAACGAAGAAAGTGAAGAAGAAGTCCAAGAACAAAAACGAGGTGTACACGGACGTGCCGATTGCATAGCGCGGCGGCCCCGTCTCCCATTTATTTTTTTGTTACGCGCCCAGCGCCGCTGTTTGCAGGCACTCGACGCGGAGTGCGGCCGTTTTTACGGCAGCTAGCCATTTTGCCGCATACTCACCAAATGTTATGAATAACTGGAAAAAAAAAAAAAAAAAAAAACATGGGTGCATTTTAGCTAGCTGTGTGTGCAAGGCCGCACATGACTTCACCCCTCCCGTAACTGGGAACTCCAAACCACGGGAAAATCGGTAAAAATTTTTACTTCCCGCTGGACAACTTCATTTGACGAACTGATGAGCGTATCAAAGCTGAGGTATTCATCATTCAAATTGTACTTCAGCCCTTCCGTTTTAATTGTACACTTGCCGCCAATGGGTAAAATGCCGCAGCTTTTGCAAAACACGTCCGGACTTACGTGTATAATGTGAGTTCCTGGCTGGAGCAAAAAGAGAAAGTTATTCTCCCCAATTAAGTACAGACTATGTAGGGAAGCATTTTTGTATAGGGATGAAATGTTTGCACACGTGTGGTCAAATCTGTTTCCTGTAGCGCCTAAAATTAATATTTTGTCATTTTTGCGGATGTGTCCTCGTATCACGTCGATGCATTTATCAAGGTCTGTATTTTCCTGGTTAGCGCACTTCTCGAATATGACTGACTTATTTTTGTAGTAGCTGTACACATGTGCGTTTATGCTATCAAAGTCGCCGCAAATTATGTGGGGCACTATTTCGTTGGGGGATTTCAGCGTTTTTTTCGTATCTTCCATTGGCATGTTGAATAAATCAGCGATGGTGTGTTGTCCATGCACATGCTTCTCACGCTCATTTGGGTGTGATGCATGCAGCGCTGTGTTTTTGTCTTCCTTCCCTTTCGGTGAACTTTGTTTATGACTTGCGCTTCTCTCCGTGGCTAATGACTGACACCAGTTGTACAGCCTGTTGGCGCCTCCATCGGCGCATATTAATATATCCGAGTTGGCAATAATTTTGACCGCATGGGCGCACATGGTGTTGTTCAGGATGATGGTGATTATTCTGGACTGGGGGGTTGATTCTGTTCTACCCTCTCCTGTCGTCCACTCTCTGCCCCACTTCTTTTCATCATTTAGCAAAATACATTTCATAAAATCAAGATCATGCACAATAAGGTTCCCTTCGTTTGGGCTCCTCATGCAGCTGAAGTGGGCAGAACGTAACCCTTTCGTGTCCCCTGATGTGCAGTACCACCTTGTACCTATATTCGCAAATATTCTCGCGCGATTGATCTGTTCGATCGCCCTGGCATTACCGCGTACGTGCACACTGACTTTCGCGCGCACGTTGAAGAAAATGCTTTTCATTTTTATGCGGAAAGGGAACCAAGTCTCCCCCCACGGGTGCAACGAACAAGGGCGGGAGAAATACGACGATATGGTGTGGCGCGACCTGCCTCTTAAACTGCCCTATTTTGTTTTTTTTTTTT